ATTTTTGTTCCTCTTTTGCTGATGTCATTCCACGATCCTACAGGGAATAGAGTTTGGATCTCGGCAGCCTAACAAAATCCTATGTTCCCTTTGGGACAAATATACTTGTAAGCGTGAGACTGTTTTTCCTTGTGATGCCCTGGCTTATATTTCACTTAAGTCCAGTATTGATCCTATTTTCTCTGGGCTGGGAGCTCGTTTTACTAAATTGGAAGAAAAAGTTCCACCAGCTGAATGCAAGCAAAATGAAAAGTCCTGCAACAAAACAGCTCTTAAAAAGGTGTCTGCAGTTTAGCTGACCCTTGATAACGGCGGTACCGACATCGGAACTGGATGTAATTTATTTAGCCTGACCTTTCTCTGCAAGATTATGTTCGCAGCATTATCAAGGATTCTTTATACCACTCGTACAGTCATTGCCAAGGTGACGTCCTGTTTAATGCGTCAATCGCTGAAGATTGGATTCGTGCTATTGTGATGCTTTGTTTGCTGTCCTGCCTGACAATCTTTTGGCAGGGTTTCAGCTTGTGCAGATTGCAGCTGCTCTGCTGTTGACCAAAACAAATTAAAGTTGGACATTACTACTGGGAGGTTTATGTAGACGGCATCTGTGAGTCTCCCCTACATAGGAGTGGGGTCTCCTTCCTTTAGGTGCTTTACAAGAAAATGGACTTGTTTGTGGGAAGACCTTCTGGGGATGATATGGGAGAAAAATAACAAAAAGGAGAGGGGAGAAGGGGGAAATTCTGTAAGTTGAAAGGATAAACGCAACAAATATTGTTTAAAAGAAAAAAACTTTCAGCTTGCCACTAACCCTATCGTTTAGCCACATCAGCAGAAGCCAGGCACTATGGATTGTGAAGGGAACCATGCCTCCTCTTCTATTTAGCTGGCTTTACAGCTCCGGCTGCCAGACAAACTCCTCAAACCCAACATTCACTACTATTATTACAGGAAAGCCCTGCAGCTGCACTGCATGGCTATGGCCTAGATAGAGCCAGGAGTCCCACAGCGGATGTCAATGGTGACAGGACTGGCAGTCAACCACAGTGCTACATTCCTGCCCCTGCTGCTCTCAACCCCAACCCATTCCAGCTGAGACCTAGGTGGCCCTTCAAGGTGCCCCTGTCTCAGCCTGAACAGCTCTGGGGAGCCTTTGCTGAGCTGTAGATGCCACCTAGTGACATCACGTCCAAGGAACATCCTTCTTCACTTGGAGAGGGGTGGGCAATGCATGTCCCTCTGCCATGCCAAGGAACCAGAAGCAGCTTGTTGTGACTCAACGCAGCAGCTTACCAAAGCACAGCAGGGTGTTGATGATGGAGGACTACCAGTGAAACAGTTCATATCAACTCTCCTGCTGTGCAAAATCATCCCTCTCAGCAGTTTCTCAGAGGGTCCCACGAGCAGATATGGCTGCGGGTGGGGAGGAAGAAGTATATCCTTTACTCAAGAGCCTGCTGGCAGGGGACACAACTGCAGCAGGAGTGAAGGACTTGGTTCCAGGAATACTTCTTCTCTCCACCCTACCCGAGAGATTGACACTGCTGAAAGAAGGGGATTTTCATTGCTAATTCTCACAGCTCTTGAGGGGACTTCCATGGTGAGGACAAAGGCTGCAGTTTAAAAAAAAAAAAAAAACCTACCAACTAATTTTAAGAGACTCAGAGGCTTATAGTTATGGAAAAATATGAATTAGGTGGCTTGCAGGGTCAAAGCCTGCTCGTCTTTGGATGACAAAGGTAGGAACTTCTCCTGAAGGCTTCCCTTTTGTTCTTCCACAGACTGCTCCAGAATCATACCAGGTTGCAGCCCCCCTCCCTCATGTCTGATCTGACAGAAGAGTTGGACCCCCCCTGAAGGAAGAATAACATAGGAGATGCTGTTGACTGTGGCCACAGCTTTCATGGTACCTGTGTTCTCCTCAGACTGGTTGAAGCCACAGATCTGGCAGATGCTGCGAACCCACTTATTCATGTCATCCTCCGTCTCGGCCACCAGGTAGAAGGTCCTGTCGCTTGTCTTGATGTCGAAGATATAGCTGTCTTGCAGCTCCTTCTTGTTGAAGGTCAGTCCTGCATCCACTTGCTCGCAGAAATTGAGGTTGATCACGCGCAAGGGTTTCTTAGAGTGGTCATTTTTGTAGTATTCCAGAACATCAGGGTCGCCACTCATTCGACCGCTGCGCAGGACAAACCAGCGTTTCTTCCATGCCTGAAACCAAGAAGAAGAAGAGCATGAACACCAGGGGCTACACCTGGCCCATCTCAGTGCCTCCCATAGCTCAAGTCACGCAGGGTCGAGAAACCACTATCACGCACATGGTGACAGAGATAAACACAACTATTCCCTGTCTTGGGAAGGTCTACGACACTGCTTGGTACATCATAGTAAGAGGTGCACAGACCCAGATCAGTTTAGGAGTTCAGTACTCAAATCCCACTGGTTATCCAGGAGAGTCAAGTACCAAAATACTATTACGGCCTAAGGTTCATATGACTTCAAGAAGGGCTAGTCCTAAGGCTGGAGCCTAGAGTGACCTTGTCCCCACGACAAAGCTCAGCTGCACCTCTCATGACCTGAATACCCTTTGTTCCTTGACGTGAGATAATTTGTGGAAAGGAATTACCGGCAATAGGTACACTGAAATGTATTCCAGCAACTCACAGGAACCTAGGCTCTTTGGACACAGCGTCCTAGGTATCCTGCCCTTCAGAGAAACCCCTGAGAGCACTATAATGAGCGTTTATAGACACAGAGCATGTCGATCCCATCTCTGTTTAAATGCCAGTATAGAAAGGCTAACAAAGCCAATGGGAAACTGTCTTGATTTTTTAAATATCAGGAATAATGCCAGGAAGACCCGTGGAGAATCCAAACTTCATTTGTTTTCAGTATCTTCTGCTCACTGGTATGTAGGAAATTTCTTAGCAAAGAAAAGGTTATTGATTCTTAAGAGCTCTGCTGGCCGGCAGCCCTCCAGCCCTGTTTCACTAGGCAAAACCACCCCTGTCGAGGCTGCCCCTGAGAATGGTCTCAGCGCTTTATGCTGTTTTAAGCGTACTGGAAAATAAATGTCACTCGCAATCCCCGGCTGCTCCCTGCACCAGTGTTTAGCTGTCTCCCCTCTTCTCCTCCCCTGTGTGAACACCTGCTTTGCATGGAGGAAGGAGCTGGCTGAGCGCAACCGCGTGGATAGCTGTTTTGTACATTGACTCTCCTCTGCCAAGAAGCACATGTGTTTGTGGAAAACGCCTTGGCCCAGCTGTTGATGGGGGAGAGCAAGAATTAATCTGTGACCTGAGCTGAAGTTTTCATCAGCGTAAAACAAATTAGTCTTTTGAGGTTGTGACGCGATCCCTAAGGCAAGCCAGCTCAGGAGATACCTTCTCGGTTGGTCCAGCAGCTAAGTCAACATGGGGGTTTGAGCTGGGCCTTTGCAAGAAGGGTGACACAGAGGTTCGGTGCCCCAACAGGAAAAATGAGGCGCACTATGTGGATACCCTGAGTCGAGTGAAAGAGCCCCTTTCACAACTTACAACCTATATGGAGAACTGTGTGCATCTAAGGGATATCCATCTTGCAGGCTGAAGCGTACCCAGCTGGGAAGCTTTCGTGGCTGGCTCTGCACAATTACCAGACTCCCTGTGCCTGGGGGAGGGATTCACAGGGCGAGGAAATTTCCCCTTACAAAGAGCTGATCTCAGCTCCCACGGTGGGAGAAAGGCAGGGATTCATCTAAGTGTAGCTTTTAAAAAAATTGTTCCCTGCTGGAGGTGGGGGAGAGAGGCAAGTGCTTCTCAGCATCGGTTCAAAACCTGGCCCTTTTCAGGATCAGGAGAGGCTGGAGGTAAGGATTTATGGCAAAGAGGGTCTCCAGATGCAAAGTTTGGTATACTGGCTCACTTTGGTAGCTTGTTAGGATCTCATTAACCATATGGACCTTGGTCTGAAACATCTGCTTGTGTTGCACCAAGCAAGTGGAGCATTGCAGCCAGGGACATGCACGTCAGGGGAGAGCTCCTGGCCAGCACTCATGGGGACGTTACAGGGACACACGCCATGCCCTGGTCACCCAACTTGGTCTGGCGGGCCTGAAGCAAGGAAGAACACCCCGCAGGCTCCCTGATCTCCACCCTATGTTGCAAAAAACTTCTTGATGGTCTCCCCATCCGCTTCTCTGCTCTGAACAGGAGCAGGGACAGAACATCAGGGCTTCTAACCAAACTGCTTCCCACATGTCCCAGCGTTTGCAGCTCAGCCCTGGACTCCTTGTCACCTTGAGCTAGCCGTGTTGCCATGTTTGTGGACACTTGCCCTGAACCATTTCTCTGGTCCTTGCTGTGATGTCATGTCTGCTGATGGGAGCTCCCCTTCCATGGCCTCATGGCTTGGATGAAAGCCAAAGAGGGCCCCTGTCTAATTTGAACTGGGGGCTGTGCTTTGACCTCCTTCTGTGGCTTCTCATCTCTTGCCACGTTCACTAAACCCATTTCTGCCAACCATGCATGAAGGAGAATGACTGTGTTTGCGACAGAAAAAAAACTTGGTGTTGAACTCGCGGCACACTGAGAGCGTGGCATGCAGTGATAACGGGTCTGCTGGAGACAGCACTACGCTCCGGTGCCAAGCAAAGTAGAGCAGGTTTTGTTTTATTCCTGAGGCTCACATGGGGCTTTTCTTGGGGGGGAGGAGTTGTTGTTGAACAGAATGTCAGTTTTATCTATTAAAAACTGCAGAGAGTGAAAACAAACTCACCAAAAATATTTATAATGGAAAATGAGAGGCCCATGAACAATATGGGCTGGATACGGCCCACAGAGATGACTAGGATGACGTGAAGTCTTACAGACACTTCTGAATTACATGACGCAGACCTTGGTTTGCACCAAGGATATAACAGGAAGGGATACAATCCCCACCATCCTGCCCTGCCTGTGGACAGATGTTTGTTTTATGAGATTTGCCTTAAAAAAAAAAAAAAAGCATCAGCTTTTGGGTCATGTGATTATGAGAGGCTGGGTCATGAGAAAGCATATGACTTCTATAACGAGGAAGAGCTGACAGCCACAAACATCTTTAATAACGTGAGAGAGCCAGCAAGGCAGACTGCGTGCTGGGGACCTCCGCGACACCAGCCAGGAGGGGATGATGGGTCCTAGGAGGCTTCCCTGAAGTCTGGTTGATGCTGAGCTCCCATATTGTTGCTGATGGGGCATGTGCTAGATCTCAGCAACCTAATCACATTAGGATCCCTGGGCTGCCAGGACAGTCCTGCTACAACAGGAGAAACTTGGAGAGGTAAAATCAATCCAGCCTCGTGTTTGCTTTGGCAGCTGGAGTGTTATCTCAGCCAAATTAAACGGTGGCCGTGAACCTCCACGTGTAAGCGCATATTCCTAACAAAGATGTACCCCTCACAATGGACTGACATCAGCTCGCATATATCAGCACTGCCCTGATAGACCAGCTGGGCTTGGTTGCACCCAAGAAGGTTTTGTCCATGCTATGTGCACACTGGAAGCAATTTACAGGAGCGTCTTTGCCTTGTATTTGTGGGGATGCACCGTGCAAAATGACAGCAAATAGCTCTAATAAGAGTGCAATCCCATCTTGCAGAGGATGTGGGATGAGTTTGTTGTGCATTGCACTGGGAAATGCCTCTGCATCTGCTGGTGCATCCAGAGTCAGACGTTCTGTTTTGGACATACACTCTCCTGTAATTTGGACATTCTGTTTTGGACATACACTCTTCCTCCATTATCAGTGTTCCAAAGCTCGGTACTTATGAGTCCATCCAACACAGACAGCAATGCAGTCTCGTAAGTGTCCTCACCCCATACCATTGCCTTGCTTTTGGATGGTCCATCACAGTATTCAGACCAGCTTTTGGAGAACCTGGTGGCTGAAATAAGGAAAAGAAATCTCCACAATTGTATCTCTGAACAATCCGACTTGCACTGTACTTCTCAAAGGCTTAAAAATAGCCTTTGTTTGTGTCTCTGAGATTTGTAACCTAATTAGCTTTGTGCTAATTCTCAAACTGGCGGCTGGTGCCAGGAAATCAAGTTCAGTGTAATCTTCCAAATGCAGTGGAGCAGCAAATCGTTTAGCAAGACAACGTCCAAGGCTGGCTTTCAGCTTTCAGTTTCATCAGGAAAGCGACCACTAACTTCTCTTTGAAAAGACTACTCTTAGACAAAAAAAAAAAAAAAAAAAAGCACGCTACAGACACTACAGAGCTGCATCCATCAGAGAGGAAAAAAACAATTTAACCAGGCAAGAGTAATAAGTTACTAGTCCATCTCCTGAAGCTGGACCAGCCAAATCATTGGAAACAAACTCGTGAACATTTATTCTTGCTCCAGGTCTAAAATATCCCATTAGCTTCCTCCTACTCATGCTAAACCACTTCTTTGAAGCCACTCTGCATCCATGGACTAAGAAACATGTATACATTAATGACAGATCTGGAAGAGGATCAAATTGTGGAACCACGTTCACTACCATGTGAATGAAAACACATTCAGCGCTGGTTCTTGTTACTTGGCTTGCTGCTTTTCAGCCTTCAGGAGTCAAGCCTTCAAGCACTTCTTCATGGCTAAGAAGTTGCATTAAAAAAAAAAAAAAAACAGTAACTAGACTCCAGAATCTAGGGCCTTCAGGGAAAAAACAGGATGAAATACTGCCAGAGAGGCCAACAATGCTACCACTGCTTCCTCTTTTATCACTGATACAAGACCCACAGCTTCTCTACTTCTCTTTGGTCTGTGTGCTAGCAATGGGAAGCCCCAGGCAGTCGATATTTCACAGAGAAAACGGTAACCCACACAGTCTGATGTTATTGGGTAAGTCCTAATATAAGCTGGTCGAAAGAGAACTACTCTAAACAGGCACAAATTTACTGGGAAGCTAGGAGAGCTGCCAGACTCAGTATTGCCGAGCAGTGGGATAGTGGGACAGGGGAAGAGCTCCAGGGCCGTGCAACCTTCACTGCAGCCTTCGTGGACCTCCCTGATGATGAGAATTACTGATGTTTTTCTAAAACAGCTTCTGACCCCCCCCCCCCAAAAACACATTTGCTGCAGCAGCCATGAAACTTTCCTGCCTCCTCTCCTGGTGCCTTTCAGATACATTGTGTTCCCACCAGCTAAAAGACATTTCATTGGATTTCACTGCTGTAGTGAGAACTAATGCCACGTGTAATT